TCAAATTTTAGTTTCATAGGATCATGCAGCTGAATTTTAGGTAAACTAGATTAGTCAAAACACACTAATATTTGCAAATCTGTTTTTGCAGCAAAATTTTCTGCTTAGAGATTAAATTTCAAATATATATATTTGTTAGAAAACAGTATGACTAAATTTTTTTAGGAAATCCTATTTTTTAGGAAGTCAGGACTTGCTTGCTAATTTAATTCACATTTTAGTCACTAGATGTTTAGGCATAAAACTGTTAAAACATCCTGAATAATTAGCATAGTGACCTTGTATATGTACAGTAGAATGTACACTCTGTTGCTCTTTTTTCAGTCTTTCACATGTAAGTGAACCTGGTGTTTGGGTGGCACACACACATATAGTGGTCAGAAGACAATCAATAGGTGTTGGTCCTCAAATTCTACCTTGTCTAAGACAGGATCTGTTGTGCACTACTGGGCACTGTGCACACCAACCTACCTGGTCTGCTTTTAGGGATTCTTCTGTCTCATTTTTCTATAGAAGTCAGGGATTACAGAAAAAGCTAGATCATTGGGGATTTGAACTCAGGTCCTCTCACTTCATTACTAGAGCTTATACTGAGCCTCTTTCCCAACTCTCTGATGAAATTCTTAGTTGTTTTACAGGATCAGATAGATAATGGAATAAAAACACCATTCCCTGTGTTCCCAGGCAATATTTTTCCCCCAGGCAATTTTAGAAATACCATTTGACTTCGCCCTCCCCCAAACATCCCTCAAAAAGGGCTCTCCAAAGTCTACCACATTATCCTGGGCCAGGCCTAGGCCCTTCCCCATGTATCCCACATATTTCTGACAATAATTATATTAATTGGAGCCTTACAGTCAAAGTAAAAAGAATACTTTACATATAAATTTGCCTGAAAATTTACAGTTTTAAAAATTTGCACTGCAACAAAATGGAACTTAATTTCTCACAGAGTAACATGTGAATCCCACTGTTTAGACAAGGGTCTTCTGTTCTTTGTGGTCAAAAACTTACAGTGAATGCATTGAAGTAAACCTATATGTTCAGCTCACATGAAGACTGTTAAGAGCTTCATTGTAATTCTTTTAGACAGTTTTTGTTTTCAGACAGTCTTGTTATGCATCTCAGCCTTGCCTCAGACTTAAAATTTCCCTGCCTGCAACTCTTCAATGATGAGGATATAAATGTAGGTTTTGACTGGTGCACTATTTTTTTGTTTCACCTTATTCTCAAATGTATATTTATATTGTAACACACAGGCACACAAATAGAAACACCCTAGACAGACAGACAAACAGACAGACAGACAGACACACACACACACACACACACACACACACACACCACAATTACATTGAACATTTATTTGCATGAACCTCATCTTTTCCTTATTCTGCATTTCCCAAGAAGATGAAAGCCATGACTGACATTTACTTGGTCAAAGTCTACTTAGTTAGACAACCTGAATATGGAATATACGTACCCCTTACTATTATGAAATATGTTTAAACTGTTTTTTGGAGTTATGCAGGGACTCTAAGATGTTAAATATAACTGTATGGTAAGGAGTTTACCTAGCAAGCAATCTCTGTATCATTTGGATATTGAATCAATAAATTTTATAGAGTGACATTCAGTTAAGTTTGGTGACATCTATAACATAAGAAACAAATATTCGGAACACTAAATGAAAGTTTACATTTAAATACATTCTTCAGAGCATATACAGGAACACAGATCTCCTCAGAAAAAACATTTAATCTGCAATCTTCTGAAAATTCTTTACTTGAGGGCTTACAAATCAAACAAATTTTTATTTGTCTCCTCACTCCCTACTGATACAGTTTTTCTAATTTGTTTATGTATTATCTTTTATTTTTTAGGGATTTCTGTTTCAAAATTTCTGACATTAACTATTTTTCTTTATAAGATCTAACATGGGCTGGAGGGATATCTCAGCCATTAAAGGCTAGACTCCAACCAAAAATATAACATCTAAGTTATGATATGCAATCATCTTTTTTGTTTTGTTTTGGTTTGGTTTGGTTTTTTGAGTCAGGGTTTCTCTGTGGCTTTGGAGGCCATCCTGGAACTAGCTCTTGTAGACCAGGCTGGTCTCAAACTCACATAGATCTGCCTGCCTCTGCCTCCTGAGTGCTGGGATTAAAGGCATGTGCCACCACTGCCCGGCTGCAATTATCTTTTTTAACTTCAAAAGTCCTGACTTCATACTCATAGAGCCCCAATATATTTCATTACATTTATTTGATGTTGATGACTCTAAGTTACATCAACTGACAATTTGTTAAGACTTCTCAAAAGTTTTCTTCAGTGAAATAATAAATCTTTGGTTCTTTACCATATTCATTTCAAAGGCAAACTCATTACTGACAATTCAAGGTCAGCAGACCAATTAATGCCTAATATTAATTAATTGATCAGGTCTGAAATGCCCTGATTCTGGAGGCCTTCCATGTAAGCTTTCTTGACTAATTACAATCTAAATAATTTGCCACATCTCTCATGAAGGCATCTTTCTCTATCAAGCAGTCTGTCAGACACATGAAGAAGACTACAGGAAGTCTCCTTGGTGACATTCATGACTCCTTTTCAGAACTCACTGCAGTATCCATAGTACAGACACACAGATACTCTTAATACATCATTCCAACTTTACTCTTTTATTTTTATGTATTTATGTATTTATGTATGTATTTATTTATTTATTTAAATATCTATTTTTGGTTTTTCTAGACAGGGTTTCTCTGAATTTTTTTGGTCCTGTCCTGGAACTCTCTCTGTAGATTATTGTGGCCTGGAACTCACAGAGATCCACCTCCATCTGCCTCCTGAGTGCTGGAATTAAAGGCATGCTCCACCAATGCCCAGACCCAACTTTATTCTTAATCCTAAATTCTTTAGTAAAGTTCAAAAAGATGCAACAAGTTTTATCAAAGAGTAACTATGATGAGGAAAGTAATATCTCTGTTAATAAAGGCATAAACCTTGATGAAAATCAGCTACGTATCATGAAATACCTAATATCTTCTTCACAGACTTAGGTAATGGCTTAGCAGATTTACAGTGCAGTCCTCCCACAAACTGAAAATTTGGTAAATGTGGACGAGGGTATTCAAAATCCCAATATGTCCTGATTAGCCAAATTTCAGCTTTCCCGATGGTCTCACAGAATATAGTGGATCTTCCTTGAAAACATACAGAAAGTTGAGAGGACAAAATTGGCAGTCTGATTTGCTGAGAAAAAATGCACCAGAGGGAGACTTGTGAGATGTCTTAGTGGTGAACAGCTTTTGCTATTCTTGCAGAGAACCAGGGTTAGGTTCCTAGCACCCACATAGCAGTTCATAAGCATCTGTAATTATAGTTGCAAGTGATATGATGCCATCTTATGGTTTGTAATGTCTTATGTCATTAGACACACATGTGGCACACAGACATACATGCCAGAAAACACTAATAGACAGGAAAATATAGTCTACAAATGTTCCACATTTCTACATAAGTTATTGAGAAGAAAATTTGAATATGTAATATGTAATAGCTTAATTTTTTATTGTGCTAGATTGCCAGGGCTGCTGTAATCACGTCTTCCATGGTTAATCCTGCATTTGCAATATGTACAAAAATACCAGGCACTTCAATTGACAGGAGAATGGTATAGATTTTAGAGCAATAATTTGCAGTTGTAAATATTTGTGGAATGAAATTCAGAGGCAACAAATTACATACTGAATTATTCTCATCCTAACATTAGTTTATATTTCATCTTATTACTGCCACAATGAGTTATTATTTTTATAAGTGTATGTTGTTCCTTATAAGAGACTTGCATTCTAGAAAAGATACTATTATCTGTAATTGTCTTCTTGTATATGACAGATAAAATAATGTTCTATTCAATTGATATTTATCTGTGCCTCATTTTTCTAGGATTCATGATGATTTATTAAATTTCAGTGTACTATTATACAGTTTAATGATTATAAACACAGAATAATAATAGCAAATTAACTTCATAATGCTTCTACAACTAGTTATCAATGAACAATTTACTATTTTCATTTGCAGACTTTTACATGGAAATGAAAGTTTATAGCATGCATTTCTTTTCTTATTTTTGAACTTCCATTAAGTTTTAAAATACTTAGCATGAAATGTAGTCTCTTACCTAGGGTTTCACTATAAAAGTTATCCCAGAATGCAAAGTCATACTGCTGAAGTCCAAATTCAAAAAACAATGACAGAATCATATTTATCACCTTTTCTGTGAAGGTCATATTGTCTGTTAGTTCACCCATATTAACTGGTACATAGCACAGGGGAACTGGAAGCTTGCCACAGTATTTCTCCAGGGTGTAGCCATTGCTGAAACTCAGGGTATTCACAAATGGGACCTGAAACAACTCAGCCATCACCTCTCCACAGGGAACTACAGGATTTATAACCATTACATCGCATTTTGTGTCTTGGAGCTCATTCATGAATGTCTGGTTGTACAATACACTCCTACAGATATCTTGAAGTCAGATGGAAAAAGAATTCCTGAAATTTTGTTGCTCCTCTCCAAACTGGCAAGTTTGGAATGACATTCACAACTAGGTTCACTAGTTCATTTATATGAATTTTGGAAGCTTCTTCCCCATTAGACAGACGGATGTTCTCAAAGTGAAGTGCAGAATGTTTATTCTGATCCATCATGATAATGGAATATTTCAGGACTGTCACCTCATGTCCTCTATCCACAAGCTCTTCAAGGATAGTCTTTAAATTCAGCCAGTGACTCATATCACAGGGCCACACAAGGACCTTGTCACACAAGCCATAGCCATCACAGCAAAGCTGCACTACAAAAACTGCCATGACCCACTTCTCAGATGCCATGATGTGCCCTTCCAACCTGTTCTGCAAAGATTGAGTATTTACTCAATTGAGCAACAATTTATATCATAAATCAAATATTAACTTCCAAAGTTACAAAACACACAGTCGAGGGATTTCTGTAACAGTGCCAATAGCACATTGTTCTGTTGAAGAGAGATGTACTTATGAAGAACTTGATTGAGTTGTTTAACAATTCAAATTTTAGTTTTTATAAACATGGGAGGAATGCAATATTTTAAATTAATAGTGTAATTGTAGCAGGTATAGCAGCTAAGTGACTGCCTAATGCTATATGAAGACTAGATGAAGACTTGGCTTAGGCCAGGTGAATAATACACACACAGAGACACAGACACAGACACAGACACACACACACACACACACACACACACACACCCACACATGACTAGAGCATAGAGCTTTCAGTTCATTGTATGGGTCATGGAGTTTGCAGGAATAAACCAAGTTTCAACAGTAGACTTTGGTGTTCCTTTTAAATCTCTATGAAATTGTATCAGGGAGAATACAGTCTTGGTCTTTGGGTGGAACTATAGGGTTAGAGCTATTATGATGGATGAAAAGTAAGAGTTGTTCAAAAATTTAAAAACAGGGTTCCATCTCAGTTCATAACCCGAGGAATCAGAATGAGGGGGTGTCCTTAGCAAAGATATGAAAGGAAAGTGGGAATAGCAATAGACTGTCCAGGGGAAGGGAAGAATGTGCTAATACTTCAGCTAAATTTTCAAGGATCAATACTTTATGAAGTAAAAAAAGCACTATTTTAACTTAAAGAGAATTGCAATGTAGGTGGTACTATATAAAGGCCTATTAAGAGTTGTGTTCAAATGGGGATGTCTTGGTCCCCAGACTGATAGCTGGGATACCAGCATGGGACTGATCCAGACCCCAGGAATATAGGTTTCAGCGAGGAGACCTCAGATATCTCAGATATCAGATATAGGACCTCCTGTAGTAGTTCAATACTTATCCCTAGCATAGGTTTGGACTTTGGGAGCCCAATCCACATAGAGGGATACACCCTGAGCCAAGAAACACAGGGGTGGCCCTAGGCCCTATTCCAAAGTATATGATAGACTCTGATGAACCCCTATGGAAGGCCTCACCCTCCCTGGGGAGCAGAAAGGATATGTGATAGGTAGGGTTTTAGTTGGTGGGGTGGTAAGGGAGGAGGAGAGGAAGAGGAAACTGGGTTTGACATGTAAAACCATCCTGATTCTAATTCAAATTATAAAAAAAAAGAAAAAGAAAAAGAAAAAGCTGAAAATCCTCAACAAGTCACAGAAGGTCTATTTACCTTATTGTGTAAAGATGAACAGTAAAGATCATTTAGTGATGTTAATCAAAATTTTAAGAAAAAAAGTTGTATTCAGTATCAACATTTGATGAGAAATGGATTGTTAAAATTTCAAATTTCTGTTGGAGAGATGGCTCAGAGTTAGAGAGTGCAGTTTTTGTAGAGGACCCAAGATCATTTCTATGCATCGTTGTCTGGAGTCTAACAAGTGTCTGAAATGTAAGCTGGAGGAGATCTGATGCAGTTATCTGCACTCATCCACAAACACAACAGACACGTAATCACACAAACATGTTTTTTTTTTTAATTCTTTGGAGGTTTTGCTTTGCCAAAAAAAAATTCCTAGAACATGTTCATGTAAAATACCAAAGTAAAATGAACAGCAAAGTCAAGGAATTTACACAGGCAAGTGGCTTCACAAAGAAAGCACTCCCCAAAAGTTTGGGAACAGCAATTTCCAATGTATGAGAGGGCTAACAAGTACTCTAAAAAATATTAACATTATTATCTTAAAAAGCAAATTCCTTTGAAATAAAATGATTACCACACAGGTAATAAAAATCACATAGTGTGAAAAGTTTTGTGATAGGATATATTTGAAGAAAAGTAGAAGTGACAGAGCTACACAATACAAATTAAACATTTTTTCCACTGAAATCCAGATATAGATGTTTTTAAAAAATTCTGAGTTGTATGGTTTTGTGAAAATAGTGTCTAGCTCTGGCTAAGAATAGAATTCATTTAAATAAATTTAAATGTGCATATGTTGTAGCTCTTTCAATAGGATCAGACTCCATAGCCTGGTGGAACTGTTTGGGAGGGATAAGGAGGTATGGCTTTGTTGGAGAAGTAGTGTCACAGGACTTGAGGTTTTAAAAGCTCATACCATGAAATCCTGAGTTAGTTGTCTCTCTGCCCTCTGGTTGTTGTCTTAAGATGTCAGAGCTCTGCTACCTGTCTAGCACCATGCCTGTCTGCCTGTTGCCATTATGGTCATAAAATCTCCCTTTGAAATGGTAGGCCATCCCTCAAGAAACTCTTGCATTAGTTGCCTTGGTCATGAAGTCTCACTATAGCAAATAAAAATATAACTCAAACAGATGTGAAGTTCAAAATCTGTCAATCAGCTGCTATCCAATTACAAAGAGCAGTTTAGTCCAAGAGGTGGGGTTTACATTAGGGATGGACGAGACTGGGGATAAGAGGTGGAGCCAGAAAGATCATGGTCATTTTTCTGAGCAGGGAAGCAGGTGGTGGCTGAGTGCTTGACCGGGAGCTTGGATTTGTCTGAGCTTTTCTTTTTCCTTTAATATTTATGCACTGGATTTGTGAAATAATAAATGGTAAAAAAGAATCATTTTCATCTGGTTCCCAATGTGTAGCCTTGTTCAACCATGCAAAGATGTGCAATTTTGAGTCAACAGAGAGTCCCAGGACACATACCTCACCCTTTCCCCATCTCTATTCTGGCATGGCTTCCTGATATCCTGCTTTCTCTGGCACTGACTCCTGGTCCACTGGTACCCTAGAAGGCCAATTCTTCTCAGCATAGGCAAGTCAGGGAGCAGAATCCGGTGCATTGTGTTGGGGAGCAGAGTCCAGTGCAGTGTGCTGCTATCCTCCAGAGAAAATTCTACTCAGTGCTGGCAAGTCCTAGAGCAGAAGCTTTTACCTGTAGAGTTTTGCCTGGACACCAAAAGCTTAAAAATAATATTTAACAACTAACTTATCATGAACCCTACTCACTTATCTAGTGTTTCATTGTAAAACTTATCCCAGAATGCAAAGTAATATTGCTGGAGCCCAAATTTAAAAAAAAAAATGACAGCATGAGAGCATCATACTTTCACTGTTTCTGTGAAGGTCATATTGTCTGTTAGTTCACCCATGATAACTGGTACATAGGACAGGGGGACTGGAAGCTGGCCACAGTATTTCTCCATGGTGTAGCCAATGCTGAACCTCAGGATGTTCACAAAAGGGACCTGAAACACCTTGGTCACCACCTCTCCAGGGGAATTACAGGATCTATAACCATACATTGTATTTTGCATCCCAGAGCTTGTTCCAAAATGTCTCATTGTACAGTGCAATCCTACATAGATCTTCAATTCTTTCTATCATTTGAAGAAATAAATCTTGAAATGATTTTTCTGCTTGCCAAAGTGATGAGTTTGGAATGACATTCACAGCTACATTTAAAAATTCTTTAGAACATTCTCATCAGTCTCATTCCCATGTTACACAAAGGTTCTCAAAGTGCAGTACAAGATGTTACTCTGATCCATCATGATATCTGAATGTTTCAGGACTCTCACCTCATGTACTCTCTCCACAAGCTCCTCAAGAATAGTCTTTAGGTTCAGCCCGTGACTCAGGTCACAGGGCTACATGAAGACCTTACCACAGAAGCCACAGCCAGCACAGCAAAGCTGCAGCAGACAAAGTGCCACAGCCCACAAAGGAGTTGCCATGATGTGCCTCCTCAAGCTGCTCTGCAGAGACTGGGTATCTCCTTTGTTTACTAACAATTTAGCCATTAACCAATTTACAAATTAACTTCCATACTAAAATTTAGAGCTAAAGATGTCTGCTAGATACATTGGCCATGCAATGTTTTTCTTTGATTACAATCATTACATCATTTTGAATATCTGGATCCAGTTGTTGAACAATTATACTCTAACCTTCTTAAAAACAGACACAAAATGTGGTATTTTAAAATTAATATTGTAACATTAGCAGGCACCACATCTGAGTGTAAGGTTGAAAACTAGATTAAGACAATTAAGCTAGATGAGTAGAAGAGCACAGGTTAAGGAACAATGACCATGTTTCAAAATTATGAAATATCTTATGTGTTGGCCCCAGGTCACGCTTTCCCGCATTATGAGAAAGAAGAAAACCATTTGATTCCATACAACTTTTTTGACTTATTGGGCTAATGACCTGTTATGATTCTGTTGTGATGAGGATTGTAGTATTTATAAGTCATCACTCCCAACTTTAGAGACATTTTCTCACAACCTTAATTCAGCCAGTAACTGGACACATGAGTCATATGAAGGTCATGGAATGGATATCATTTTCAGACTTTTCTCAGTGATTAACAATAGGATCTCAGGGAAAGTCCAGTAGAGCGGCGGCGGGGGGGTAGTTTCCTATGACATCCTGTATTCAATCCAGAGGAGAAGGAAAAATTATGGCACTCCATATCTATTCCTACAAAAACAGGCACCCTGAACAGAGAAAATCAAGGTGTTTGTAATGACCTGGGACATGCCCCAGAAGAATACCTCCTTAGGACAGTGAACATATTCAATATCTTATCTCAATGCCATTTTAGTTCCCTTAGCCTGAAGAATTGAACTCACCATAGTTTATGCCCCCTTTGTAGCTGTGGTGATACTGCAAGAAGTGGTAGACTTTGGCCACCTTTCAGTTGCAGAAAATGACAAATGGTACTCCATACCCATATATACCAGCTAGTAAATAAACTCAGTAAACAAATCACTCAATAGCCTTCAGTATCTATAACAATCTAGATCTGGTGGGGGGGGAATTAAAAAATAAGCAAGACAAAATTTGCTATTGCAATTGGAGATGCCTTTGACAGAAGCTCAACAACCAAAGAAAACTTGAGAAATTAATTTTAAATGCAATTATTTTAATTACTGTTTTCTTG